CTGGAGAGAGGGAAGTCTGGGCGTCTTTGCTTAGACTGCTGCCTCCGCGACCCGGTTCCGGATAAGCGGAGGAAAATGGATGGAGATCAGAAATGGCTGGTTTTCTAAGTGATTGGTCTTGACTGACAAAAAGAACTGTGTGTTCAGTAGCAACAGACATTCTTCTGCTTCTGTTACTTGTTGCACCTCTTTATATTTGGAGAAGTACAATTATTTCACTTCACTTTTGGTTGGAGGTTTGAAAAAAAGAGTGAGAAAGATAGAAAAATATAACATTTTGCTACACACACACACACACACACACACACACACACACACAACATATAACATCCTCAACATATCTTCTTCTCTTCCTTGCAGGTAAGATTGACATGGTGAAGTCCAAGTGGGGCCTGGCTCTGGCTGCAGTGGTCACTGTCCTCAGCTCTCTGCTCATGTCTGTGGGGCTGTGTACACTGTTCGGACTGACACCCACACTCAATGGAGGGTAGGAAGCACATTTTCTTAACATATGTCAGGTCTGCATCCATGTCTGTCAGCAGTATGCCCCAACACATTTTTAGAAGACAGAAACATACATAATTAACTAGAATTTGTTTAACATTTGGTTTTTGCCATCAGAAAATGATTAGTTTCTTGTCTTAACCTTGAAGCCAAAGAACCAGGAGACCATTTCTTATGTAGTTATGATGTGTGTCGGTGCAACAAGATGGGAAACTGTTGGTCAGAATTTGCACTCCATGAGAGAGCAAACTATCTACCTACCTATACTCAGGTTTTACACTGCTTATATTGTTGGATTGCAGACAGCAAACCTTTGTTCACTTTGGGTAATTGTTATTAGTTGTGGATTGTCTGCGGCTTCGGCCTTGTGGCTCCTCCTTGCTGGCACAAGACAAGTTGAGAAATCTGGTTGTTGGTCATTTACATCATTAGTGTTGGTAAATACTCCGACAAATTGAAAAATTGTCCAAAAAAAAGCCAAATTATATTGACCATGATTGATTTATAAAAATCAATGAAAGAGTTAAACACCCAAGGGGGTGAATAATTTTTATTGGCACTGTAGCTTCTGGGCGGGCCACAATTGGAACAATGACTGCAGATTTTCTGTAGTCCTCATGATGTCCTCTGTTACTGGCAATCAGATGTATCTGATGATATTTACTGACCCAACAGGCAGTTAGCGTTTGATAGTTATCTCATATCTTCATAGAAAGATGAAGACACCGACATGCATTTGCACTCATGCACACACTCCGACATACAGTATAGTACATACACAAGCCGGCTTATCGGTCGCCCACTTGTTCTGTATTGACTTTGCATGGATTTACGTTAATGTTTACAACATGTTGGCAGAAACTCTGTTTGTTAATGTGGATGAAACCAATTGGGCAGGATGTGGGTGGGGCGATGCAAGGGGGCAGAGACATAATGATATTGACATTTAATGGTTGTCCAATTATTAGAAAACAGACACTGTGGCGTGACAATGGCACACGTTTGTCCAACCACTGACCAAGAGCCACAGTATATAATAAACACACACAACCTATCACTACCACTGAGGTCATCTGATGCAATGTGCAGAGCTGTTGACTCCTCTGTGACCCAGTTACACACTTAGGCTGGGTTCACCAACAGTTTGATGAAAAGAAAATCTAATCCCCGTCAGCATTTGCTCAAGTGACAGCATTTGGCAAGGCGCTGCGTTGGCCAGTCACTGTACATGCCAATGCACATTACTGGTGGATTACTTTGGCATCTAATAATTTTTTTAAATACATAAATGCCTTTGTCCAAATAGACTGTATCTTATTTAATTGTCACTGTTACATTAAACATCAGGCACTAAAACTTTGACTATATTGTCATTGGAAAGAAGGGACAACAGAGGTTTGAAGCAAGGGAATATTTATCTAGAAATGAGATCATGTATATACAGTTCATGCAAACTCGCACTCAGAAGTCAGCCCTGTTTTTACCAGTTTAGGCCTGAGGTTGTAGTCGTTTTGCTGTTTTCTCTGCAGTGAGATTTTTCCTTACCTGGTGGTGGTGATTGGCCTGGAGAACGTCCTAGTCCTCACCAAGTCTGTGGTGTCCACCCCCGTCGACCTCGAGGTCAAACTACGCATCGCTCAGGGTGAGGACAGAGTGTGTGATGAGTGTTTTTGTTTCTGGCCGGCTACCATATGTCTGTTCATCTCTACATTTGTCATTTCTACCAGTCACAAAACAGTTGTTCTGATGTTATCTAAAACACTTTTTAAAATGTCTCCTCCTTTCTCCAGGCCTTAGTAATGAGAGCTGGTCTATCATGAAGAACATGGCCACTGAACTGTGCATAATCCTCATTGGATATTTCACTCTGGTCCCAGCTATCCAGGTAAATCTGGCTGAAATCTTGTATCAGCAGAAAATCGTATAGGAAATAATAGCTAGCTATGTCATAAACTGAGAGAGAATATGTAAATATAGTATGAAAACAATAGAGAAGCTATGAGGACACGAAACAACGCTCGTCTCTTTTACCATCAGGCATTGTGTGTCCTTGCAGATCATGACAAAGCTGTTATAACTATTGAACTGTCCAAGCGCTCTTTTCGTTCAGGTTGTCAGCAGACTGTTGCTCATTTTTCAGATGCAAACCATAGACATTTTAAAAACAGTGTGAGTACTGCTTGTGCCACAGAGAAAAGCTGACATGTGGTTATCCTGTGTAGTGTCTGATGGTCTCCACTGGCCTCTACATGTTGTAGGAGTTCTGTCTGTTTGCTGTTGTGGGGCTGGTGTCTGACTTCTTCCTGCAGATGTTCTTCTTCACCACAGTACTATCTATAGACATCCGTCGCATGGAGGTGAGGATTCTCAGGCACACACTGACACATACACACACCTTATGCATTTGTTACTCTTGGGTGGTCTAATATCACTGATGATTACATTCATGTCCCAGATTATACGTAAATCATTGTTCTCCTCAGAATCAAACAAAATTTAACTCTGAAAACCCAGCATGGTCAAAGCACCAAGCATCATACTGATTCTTTTGCATTTACTGGTGGTGTGGTTTGTCTGAATAACCAGAAAAACAGTTGACTGCATGAAATGGAGCAGCATATTCATAAATGCAGCATTAACAGACTGCTGGGT